CAAAAAAAGCCCATTTGTCCCACAATAGTTGTTTAATAACAAGATGAAGTTGTATGTATTTCTATTTTTTTTTTCAGCCTTGTGCTGGATATTTTTGAAGGTAGAAAAATTTCAAAACTTTTACTTAAAGCCACAATAATTTTACTTCATCAGTTTTAACACTCTTGAAAAATACCTGATTAATCAAGGAACCTAGAAAAGGCTCGTTTTCCTTGCCAGATGGAATAGCAAAAGCAAGTGTTTAAAAGACTTACTACTGTGAGGAAAAGAATAGTGACATGAGCTAAGGACCTTTAATGGGTCAGAGGAATTTGACAAGCATTTCTTGACAAATTGAAAAGTCAAGGTAATTGTGGGCTTTCTATTCCTTTCAGGGAAAATGGGTAACAAATATTTTAGTGCTGACTGACAGATTTTTGTGAATTTAATATGTAGAAGGCTGAAGGACAGAAAAAAGCTGACAAAGACTTTTTCACTGAGTTTATACGTCTTGTTGATGGAAAGTATAGGCAAAATTTTGAGTAATGATCAAATACGATAGCAAATGAGTCTAACTACATTTAATATCTTCAGAGAGTGTGCAAGGTTGTAACGTTCATGGAATATTGTAAACAAATTATTAAAACAAGTTGGTCTTTTGAGCTTGTGAGAAATGTTAGAGAAGAAACTTCTCTCAGTATAAACGAGGCAGAGCTTAACCTGTGCTTTAAGATCACCTAAAAGCTGCTATTGGGCACCTTGCACCAAACAGATTTATGACTGCTGTTACAGTGAAATCCTTTTACAGGAAACAATTTCACTACAAGTTAATTTATTTTCTTGTAATTAGCCTTACTTGCTGGAATTATAATTTACACAGTGATACACTGAAACATTCAGAACTTTTTTGTTTTTCTGTATCTGCTTCTAAGCTAACTATAGACAATCTCCTTTCCTGTTACATTGAAATAAGCTTTTTTCATTCTTGCATAAAATATTATTTTTAATTATTATACAAATAACGTATAATAACAAAATGAGAATGTACATATTCAACTGCACTTTCTTTGCCTTTTTTCAGTTAATTGTTAGTCCCAATTAAAAGCTCCCATCTGCAGTGTTGTTTTCTAATTCTCGTTAACATCTATATGTTGAAATTTTGGTTAGAATCAAACCATGAAATACATTTGGTGCCAGTTATTCCAGCTGCCAAGTATTGGAATATGATGACATTGTGATACAATTGGATGTCAGGGTTCCACACCTTACTCATAAATACGCCAGTTAAGCTGTCTGTATGGAGAAACCACCTTAACTTTTTTCACAAGATAAATTTTTCAGGTAAAAAGAAACACATGCAGCACAGGAGACTAATTATTCTCAAAATCCTCTTTCTTGCTGAGTATTACTTAGAGCAGAGAGACAGAGACAAGACCTCATGAAAGGGGAATTGTACATTAAATAGTACAGTGCAGGGTTACACTTAATTAAAAGCACAGATTGAAGATGATTGCATTCAGATCTCAGAAGTGGTCACTAGTTTAATTTTAAAGAAAAATAAAACAAAAAAAAAACAAACCCAAGAAAGATTTTGCTATAGCTGATTATCAGTAATAGACAAAATAAAAAAAGATTTAAAAAAGACTTTTATTGTGCCCCAGATTAATCTCTTTTAATTTCACTAGGGAGCTGAGTTTCCAGTTCAAGTACTCAAGGAATGCTTCTATGGAAGGGTATTTTTGAGTGTTTTCTTAGGAAGTGATGCAATTTCATTGCAGGATATTCCAAAACAGTAGTATTTTTTACAAGTATACAAGGAAATATAAGGGGCAGCATTTGGCCTTCAGGTGCTTGCTTGTGGAAGAGCTGGACTTGAAAAATCTCTAAGAAGGCTTTTCATAAGGAAGCCTCCTTATGGAACGAAAGAAGGGTTAGCATAAATGAGACAGGCTTGCGTCTTTGTAGGCATACAGTGCGGGTATATTGAAGCATAACCAGAACTCAGTTCTTGATGGAATTCTGGGATTCTGAAACATCTTTCTTTTTCAAAGTGAATCAAAGCTGAATTCATTTAAATATGTGGAATTAATTTTCTTACCAAATCACTTAGAATCTGGTTGAAACATTTTAGCACTATTGAATTATTGTATACTGGCTTTTATTTTTTTTTAAATTGGTAATACGATGATAAGAGTTAAAAACAAAACCAGACTTAACGAAAAAGGTAAATAAGGCTTTAATGCAGATCTATAGATTTTTACAGCCACTTAGGTCTTCTGTGGCAGAAAGGTGAAAAGTGTTCATCACAGTGAAAAAATGACTTACAAACTCAGCAGGTTTGTCATAATTTTCCTTTTCTTATTCTTCAGAATTTCAAGATGAAGGAGTATGTTGTATTGTACAGAAATAGGATAGTGATCAAATAGGTCCATAATTTGAGACATTTCTACTAAGTCAGTGAAGATCTTAGCAGTCCTTTAACGTTTATTAGCATGAAGTCTTTTAAAAATTTTTCCTCCTCAAAAGCTTACTTAATACCTAAAGAAGCTTTAATACACTTTTAAATTAGTTTTAATTTAATGAAAATTTACTTGTTAAAATCTTTAGAGTCTCATTTATCATGTAAAATTTACATCCTTTTTTTCCTCAACTTTGCTAAAATATTTGTCTCTGTTATAACCTGCAGCAGTCAGTACCACAGACTAATTCATACAGAAAGGTTCATCACTTAATATACTTTTGTGGGGTTTTTTTTGAGAGAGATTAAAGGTATTTTTATGGAAGTCATGATTTTGAGACTGTTGCGTTGCTATGTGTTGACATCACACCAGGTGTCACATTCCTTATTCCCATGGGTTTGTTCATATTTTAAAATGACTTTTGTTACCCACATCAATACCTTCTGTTTCAGCTTTAGTTCATGTTCTGTGAAGCTGCAGAAGTGAATCCAAAGTTCAAGGCAAGAACATACAGGCATGGTCTGAATGCATGTGTTTCCATTTTGAGGTGTGTTTTTCACGGACCTATGAGTATTGCTGGTCTTCCTGAATTGTTCAAGTTGATCTAGAATGCAGCAAGGAAATTAGTCCTTTCTGTTGGAATTGCCAGGTGCTATTTAAGCGTGGCTGTGTTGGGCAATGGGTATGTTGGGAGTTGTAGAGGGTCTCTCACTTGTTAGTTGTTAGTCCAGATCTAGTCCATGCCAATAGGGAGGGACAGATAACTGCGTCTGGTGGGGAAGTCTAGGTAAGTTGCTGATCTTTTCGAACAAGGGTTTTTACCAGACCAGTTGTTGTCACAACAACGGGCAGTGTCAGAAAAGGAATGCACTGAACTACACAGACCAGAACAGGTCTGCTCCTGCTTGCTGTACTTCAAAGAACAATAAAGCAGCATGATGGGACACTGTGAGGGAATTAGAATTGCTACTGTTTGTGAAAAATCCATGAATAACCAGATTACTACTTTTCGAAAAACTTCCAAAACAGCGACTTTCACTAACAATAGTTTGACTAAAGAGAAACAACAAATGTGACGCTAACGTTCCTTAAGCATGCTGAAGATAAAAGAACCTACCCTGTAATCTTTTTGTGCCATATGCACGCTTTGGAGTGTGTTCATGAAAAAAAGTTCTGTCTTATTTGTAATATATTTCTGTCTGCTTTATCAGACATTTGATACAAATCTGCAGAAGGAAATGCTAAGTGAATTTCATAAAGATTCTTCTCTTATTTAAATCATTAGTAGAAAAAGTGGAGGAAATATACTACCCAAGGCATGGGAAATTGCAGTATAATATCAGATGCTCCTTTTGTTTTGAACAGCATAATAAGGCACCAATTTTAAGTGTTGACAAGCACAGCAGGGATAAAGTACACTGTACAACAGTTGTACTATTATATAGTTTTCTCTATAAAAACACAGCAAAACCAAACAAGCAACTGAATGCCAAAGCAGTAGTTTCGAGACAGGAAGAGATGAAACCCTGTTTTTCTCTTGACCCTCTTAGAGTAAAACTCCTTTCCATTTGGGCTAGCTACTCAGATACCCCTTTCAAATACCCCTTCATAACCAAAAGAACATAGTAGGACTGAATAATGTAATAGCATTGATCATAGGTAAAAAAAAGTATGAAAAAAGTTTCTCTCATGAAGGTTTAATCCCTAAATTTGATGTATAATTTGGTTCAGTACACTAGAAGCACAAGTCAGTTCAGTATGAATAGTTGAAAAAAGAAATAGGAGTCAAATAGACCGTCAGTTCTGATTAGCTAAATATGCTTCCAAGTGGTTCATTGCAGACAAAAATATCTGTTTGCAAACTTGTACTCATTCAACTGAATCCATTTCAAAGCACCTTTATGTACCTAGCTCAATTAAATGTCAGTAATGTTTCTGACTCTGTGACTTGAAATTCCGAAGTATGATCTTCCTTTTTAAAGCATCTCTTTGATCTGTCACTGCCACTAGGAAGGTTCATGGTCAGATAAGGTAGCGACGTGCTTTGAATGTAGTTGTGTTTTTGTGTAGGAAATGTACAATGGAAAGTGTCAAGAATGAAGGCAAACCTCACTGTAAGGCAGAGTAATTAGATTTAATTGATTACCAGACAGCTCTCAGCAGAAATTGTCTCACTGGAAGGAGATATTATCTAAGCAATATTTTAATTTATTCTTGGTGAAATAGTTGGACTTCAGGGCTGTTTGTCATAGGAGTGTGCTCTTACCCAGTTAGAAGTTTCTTGTCTTGATGATATCCAGACCATTCTTCCCAGGAGACACACTGGTAACTGCTACTTCTGCCTGTGAAACTGTGTCAAAGAATGTAGAATGCCACTGCTGAAAACTCTGTCAACAAAATTGTGATTTGCTGAGAAATGCATCTTAGTAGAAATATTGTTTAAAAGGGTGATAACTTTCAAGCCTGTAAATGCAATATGTATTTTCCAATGTTTATATTATTATTGAAAAGGTATATTACTTTTCTATGTGCAGTTGATTAAAATGGATTTTTTCTTGTTAGGAATGGAATTCCACGGTGGAACAACTGGAAGCTGAAGCGCTTAAGATCTTGCTTTCAGAGGACTATACGGAAAAAGAACATTTAAAGCTTTCAAACCAGAAAATCTGTCTGTTGCGTGAAGAAGCGTGCTTCCATATGGAAGAAAGGAAAGCCCTGCTACAAGAGGCCAATGATTTTTTTCGTACTGCTGGCAAGGTTGGTAAGAAACCAAGTCTGTAATAATAACCTGATAATACAGCTGTCAAAGTGCTCTTGAAGGCTGATATACATGAGATTATGCAGAGTTTGCTAAACAATTTGGAATGGAAAATTACAAATCTAATTACCCTTTAATATGACCTTTCGCCTCAAACTTCTATCCAAAATGACAAATACATTTAAAAAAATTTTCACAAAAAAAGTGTATTGAGAAGAACACTTGGTTTCCAAAATAAGACATTTGGGAAATATTATCTGCCAAAAGTTGGACTTTAAGATCATGGGTTCTGTCATGATGGCATAATGCTGTATGACGATACAGGAGCTGCTCTAAAATACCCGAATTGTTATAGGTTAGTATGGATACCAGAAATGATGTCTATACTTGCAGTGGTCTCCACAAGGACTAATTAATAATCAGGTATGGGAAAAATCAAGGACAATGTACAATTCCTCATACCAGGCACGTCATATACTACATGGTCTAGACATAGTGTTAACACCAAAGTGGCCAGTTAAAAAAGCACGAAACTCCCTTAGTCACAGCACAAGTGATGAATTAAGGCCCACACCTATACTGAGGTCAGCAAGAGAGTGTGTGGGCAATAACTTCCGTCACTGATGTGCTTGTGTGGAGAAGCAATGATTCAGATTCCAGAATTCGATTCTTGCAGCTCTCACAGGAGAAAGTTGAGGGGCCTACCTGTCTACTGAATTCTATCCATTCTTGTTTTGCATGGGTTGTGTTTAGGTACAAGCAGCCTTGACTACTATGTCTGTTTAATTTTCTCTCTCTTCCTAATTTTATGTGATGAAAATGGGTAAATCATTGATGGCCAAAAAAAGGAGTATTTTAAAACTAAAGTTTTACTTTTTCTAACATCAAGTCCGGTCATAACTACGTGTATGAAAATTATTGCCATAAATCTGGTAATTAATTTTTGTTACATCCTATTTATAATACTTTTTTCTTCCATAAGCTGTTTATCATACTAGAATACTTTAAGACACTTTCAAGAATTCTGTTCATCATTTCTTTTTGATTTTTTCATTGACTCTAATGTGAGCATGAAAAGAATATTCTTACAAACTTTCTCTTCAAATCCCTATCCCAAACCAAAAATATCAGATATTTTTTCGTTAGTCGTCTTCTGAAGTTGTTTTAGACTAGTTATCATGTAGTCTTATGTGAGTTAGATTACTTTTGATATTCTTAACTCAAGGCCTAAGATTTTAAAATTCTTTTTCAAATTTTATGATATTACAGGGTAGCACTTAATCACAGTTAAAAATATGTAATTTTTTAGTCAAACTGATTCAAAGGGGGGTTTAATAGGTCTCCAATAAACAAATATTGTAAAACTTGTTGTTCAACTAAAGAAAAAAGGCTGAAATAAAAAAATATAAAAGGACAAAAAAAATCGCTCTGTGGGATTACAATACAGTCAAGGAAATGAGTGTAGAAAATAATAAAATAATGATAGAATAATAGGCATAATAAAAATAACTTGCGATTCAGCCACATTCAGTCAAGAAGAATTAAAATGGTGAAACTGTGCATTAACAGGGAAACAAAATGAGTCTTCAGGAATTCAGTGTTTATTCTTTGATCTAAAATGCTCTCAGTTAAATCTAAAATACAGGCCAATTACTGAAAGTATATTCACTTGTATTGCTTCTGAGCCTTTCTGTTTTGAGAGACTAGATTCAATTTGGAATTAGTCTTTCCAAAAATTAAATGGCTCTCTGAAAACTGTTCCTTGGTATAAGCAAAATTATTACAATCCAGTTTGTAGTGGATGTGTGCCCACATAATAAAAATCAAAACGCTGTTTGAATGCTAATTTGGCACGAACTTGTACTGCCTGCTAGAAACTCATCAGAGACCTGAAAAATAAGTAAGAAGATTTTCCCCCTCTTTAAAAGTAGTGCTCTAAAATCTTGAAAACTTCCAATTTCCCCCCAAAATGTGAGAATGTTGAAGTGAGAGGTGGCACAGTTAATTTTAAAGTTTTCAACCTAAAATTGAGTTTGGGCAAACTCATGGGAACAGCTGATAGAAGAGTTGATTAATAAAGAATTGAGGGGACTTTATATAGTCAGTTCAAATCTATTTATATGTGTCAGGTTAACAATAGGTTTTTATGAGAAGACCAAATAAGGATCAATAAAGGTGGAAATAGTGTTGTTAGAGTTCTGTTAAGTTCTATTACTGCTATGTCATGTGTTGATGAAAGTGAATGATACAAAATCTTCAAGCCACTTTAAGTTGATTCAGAGCCAAATCTGTTTTAAGCCTTAAATGGGAAAACAAGTAGAGATTTTTATCAACAGATGAGCTTCCAGTGGAGTACTGTGGATTGATTGCTGGTTTTTCTCTGCTTATAATATTGGTAATTTATGTAAGAGTAGTAGGTAATGAAGATAGGCAATCTATAAGCACCTATATGTGCAAGGAAAGTTTTAGTAGCATATGATTTTTCTATCCAGCAGACAAAAAAATCCACAGACAAACGTCAAACTTTGCCAAATTCCAACTAGTAAGAGAGCATATTTTTTGAACAGTGAAGAAATGAGCTGTTGGAACAATTTACCACAGTTGTATTAGATTTTTCATAACTACAAACTAGATGATATTTTTTAGTTAAAGCAAGAAGTAATTCAGTAATTTGCTTGGATTACCATATAATAAAAGTTACTTCTCATATTGCATTCTAGTATTAATACACAACAATTTGTTAAAGGATATTTATTTGAGTTAGAGCAGAAGGGTTAAGCAAAGAACTTTTTATCTCATCAGTCCTTGATGTCAGTAGAGAACTTATTCAAGCCTTTTCCAGCTGTACGCTGTCAGATCAGACAGCTATCTTTTAAAAAATGGGCTCTCAATTTTGTTGCCTTGAATTGGGGCACAAAACTTTTGAAACATTAGGTCTTTAGCCAGTGGTGCTGACCAACTTTTCTGTTACTGAATTTAAACAAGGGCTGTGTGCTTTTTGGAAATACTAAGTGCTTAGTCTCTGCTATCTGCTATCTGAGTTTTAAGTTTTTGATAATTTTGAAAATTAGGTGCTATATCTGAAAATTTTCTACTGAAAAGGACCTCAACATTAAAGACCAAACTTAATATGTAAAATCTCTCTGGTTCTTTTTTACAAAGCAGCCTATTCTTCAAGGGCACATACATCAAGTAGTATTAGTAATGCAAACTTTTTTTCCAAATCCTTTTAGTTAGAATGCTAGCTAGGAAAGTTTGTGTTTTAAGGCGTCCAAAGACCAAATAGTCTTTTTGCATGTTTTTTTTTTTAAAAGCATATTGTTTGCAGATCGTTTATAAACGCTTTAAAAACAGATCATTTCCAAGGATCACTCCAACAACAATCTTTATAGCTCTGTTAAATGTGCTGGAAAAACAAGAGTTTGCCTGCAATAGTTTTTGTTTTGAGCATCAGGTGGGGCCATAATCACATTTGTCTTTAACCTGTACTGTGTTCCTTTGGTATTTTTTTAACAACATGTAAACAATAGTTGGTGCTGAAATTGTTTACACACCCTTGAAGTGAGAGATGTCTTTTGCTCGAATAGGTCTCATCTCTCTTGATTTCATTTATAATGAGGAATCTGAGATGGGCTGATGGAAGCAGTGTTAAAACTGTTGCTGATAGGCACTCCCCTTCTAGTTTGGACAAGGAGCTATGCAAGTACAACTCTTGCTTTGAGAGCAAAAGTAGCATCTTTTCAGAATACGGGGATGCTGAAGAAAGCATTAGCGGAGGTGTGTCTCCACAGCATGCCGTTACACCTCTTATGTCTAAGAGTGAAGAAAACACTATAGTTACTCAGAAAAGAGACGTTTTTGGTTGTTCTCAAGGTATACTTGAACCTCTGGACTCTCTTTACATGTAAGGAGCAAATGAGCAAAATAGAGTATTAGTTCTTTTGAACTAATTCAGAACTCCTTTTAGGTCTGTGTCATTCTGATTTTTAATGAATTCAGGAAAATGAAAGCACAGAAGTATAGTACTTGCATTGTGTTTGTACCCTGAAGATTTGGTGTACATTTGGCTGCATTCTGTTGTATATTTGGAGGCATTAAGCAATATTTTTCTGCATGTTTGCAAGCTCCTTGGCTCTTTTGGCTCTTTGATAATCATATATATTCCTTGCTAAGCTTTCCTTTAAATATCAATTCATTTCTATGTCTATGCAGTTACTTTCAGTTTGACTTTCTGCAGGGGGATCTCTGTGTAGCTATCCTCTGAGAATACTTGGGAAATGATGCATGAAATAGTCTGAGATTGCTTTGGTATGACAAAAGCTTGAAAACATTCACTTGTATAGCTTTAAGTGAATAAATAAGACTTTTACTGAATACAGTATGCTTGCAGATTCACATTTTTTTTTGTTACATAAATGTACATATTCAATGAGAAATTAATGCCTTAGACATTGTCTACTGCTTTACTTTATTCAGTTTTCATGTTTTTTCTGGTGTCTAGAGCAACAAAAAAAATATACGTGAGAGAATCAGTTCTACTGATACGATGCTAGTTATGCACAGTAGGTTTGGGCATATTTCTATTTTACTAATATTAGTATTTACTAAGTGTAATAATAGACTATTGCAATGTTGTCCTTACTCTGTCTAAAAAGATAAGAGTTTTTGTAGAGTACTTCTGTCACTTTATTCTTGTATTTGGATGAGAAACTTCTGCTTTCACTAAAGGAAGACAGTAGTTATAACAAAACCACAGCTGTATATGTGCAAAATCAATGCCTACCTTTTTGATAAAAGTATATTTAATTATAATTTACTTGTTGGATATAGATTTGGTATATTTAAAACATTAAAAAGAAGAAAACTCTTTAAGAGGGCGCTTCAATAAAACTTTGAGTGTTAATGTGCTGTATTACTCATGTTATTTTGGTTCTGCTTCAGTATGTCAAACTGGCCTGACTATTGCTGAAAAAATAGAATAGTTTTAAATTAAAAGAGTAATCGTGATTTTACGTGCCCATACTTATATTAACTGACTTATACCTGTGTTGTTCTGTGACCTTAAAATACTGCTTTTAACTTTTTAAGAAATGTCAAATATTAAATGTCGATTGATCATCTGTTTATGTAAAAGAATATACATGCACATTTTAAATAGAAATATTGACAAAAGATGCTTTTTTTTTTTTTTAGGTACTTGATGGTCTTGAAGGTATTGAGAATTACCTTAAAATCTTTAATTCAGAAGCCTTACATTTGCCTATCTTGACAATGAAGTATGAGGAACTACAGGAAGCAGTTAAAGGTTGCACAGTGAGCGCCTTGCAAAAGGGACAAACGTTAGTTAATAAAGCAGATTCTCACAGGTATTCCCTCCATTCTTGCCTATCTGCTGCATTTCTCCATATCAACCCCTTGCTTTATAACTCGATTAGTTATAATCAGACTGCATTTAAAGCCAGTGTAGTTAACTAAGTAGAAGTGCATTTAAATGACCTGGAACTCAAAGTTTATGCCGTACTTATTTGTTGGTATTTATACAAATCAACCTCTAACAAAAATC